TCTGTACATCCTCATCTAATTCCCAGGAAAACCTTGGTTTCATCTCCTGCATACTCTGCAAAATTTTTTTATATAGGTTTTTTTTTTTAAGGCTTAAGATCCCAAATTCCTTCAGGTTACCTACAGAGGCCTAAAAATAGTAATAAACTCGAAAATCAGACAAAAGGGGATTTAACGCGCCAAGGACAGTCTGGGGCTGGCGCTGAAGGAGGAGCAGTTTCCAAGTCAGCCGGGCAGGAACTTCGTTCACTCTCCCCCGGCTCAGTTTCACAACAAACTCTGGACTGGACACGGTAAAAAAAAACCTTTGCTTTCCCTGCAGAGCTGAGGGACATCGTCCTGCTGCTCCTTCTCAAAAGTTATGTAAAAAACCTGGACTGCACCATTGTAACGCTAACGCTGGAACTGAGCTTTCCGGAGGACATCACAAATTGGGCTATAAAGCTCAGAGAGGAACGAGCCACCCTTCTCGTGAGTGGTTGACCATGCAGAAATGCTTTGGCCACCGTGTCTCCTTGGATTTTAAGGCACACAGGAGTCACACCATGCCCTAAACGCTGCTTGCAAAGCACCATCGCTCCCCTAGAAAAGACAGTCCACCCACAGCTTCACAGCCGTAGAAACTACTCCTAATGTCCTCCTCCACAAAGCAAATACCAGCCCTGGAAGCCCACGGAGGTCTCTGGCTTCGATGGGCACTGCCATCACCACCTCCGCCCTCAGGAAAACCGGAGCGGGGGGAGCAGGACCCGCAGGGCCGGAGGCAGCGGCAGGCAGGGCTGGCTCCTGCGGATCCGCAGCAGACACCCACCGCCTGGCAAGCAGGTTTTGCCGTGTGACCAGAACATCTTCTGCACACGCAGGATGTCTTCACCCGACCGCCCTTGCAGCGGAGGTTGAAAGGTCAAAAGAGGTTCAAGCCCTACGCGAGGCTGTATCCCCCCATTTGATGGTGTAAAGCAAAGAGCAGTCAGAAATTATCCACAGCGGGGGAACAGGGAACAAGGAGGTGGCAAGGCGGGCTTGGAAGTGGCACAAAACCATATCTCACGGTTTCCATTCCCTAATTCCACTCCTGAAACTTCAGTTAGGGCTCGTAACAGCACGGGTTACATTTGTCTCTGGACACCCACCAGGAGGAGGAGGAGGAGGAGGGAGTCTCCCGCAGGCAGAGGTGTAGCTGCAAGCAGGACACAACGGGGCCATTTCACAAAATCTGGGTCCCAACAAGCAGGCTGTAGGATCCTGGGGATCTCAGAACCCACAGTCAGAACAAGCTGTATCCAACCGGAGGCTTGTCTCCCTTCAAGCAAAAATGGGTGAAAATGTCAGCCAATTAAGCTTTTCCCACCTACGTCACATCAGCTCCAAAAGCCAAACATGATCCCAGCAGAGCTCTCCGGGAAGTCTCGCTTCAGCAGATCTGAACCCTTAATGGTAAAATGTTACGAAAACCATAACTGCTGCGTGGGTGCCCCAAAGCCACCCCGTGAATGTTAAATCGCTTGGGCACATTGAATATAATTATCTCTCCAGTATCAAACAGCTCTCCTTCTCAATCGGAGGAAAGTGACTCCCACAGTTCAATTTAAGGTTTAAATTTGGAAGAGAGAGATTTTCTTTTCTTTATTTTTTTTTTCCTTTAATGTAAACCACGTACTTGTAAAGAACCCATGGATCAGGTATTACAGCAAAACATGTATGGCTGTGATTCCAGCACCTCCTTTCTGTGATACATTCAAGGATGTGTTTTTCCAGTAGCAGTGGTCAGCACATCACAAAAATTACAGCTACTGACAACTTGTAACAAATTCAGCCCATATAGAAAACGTGACAATGTACATGCATGTAGTTGAACATGCATGTAACAGTGACCGGATTCAGGAACTGAATGCAAGGGCACAAGCCCATTGCTGCGGTCTCAGACTCACCCTGCGCTCGGTGCCTTCTGCCTTCAGGGACCTCTTCAGGAACTAGAGCAGCCAAAAGATACCTACAAGTGACCATCAGGACCTTCCAGGACTTCCAGCGCCAGGGCACGTGAGACTAAAACACCATGCAAATATCCCAGCTACGACTTTCCAAAAACTGAAAATCAAAAACCCACTGGCAAGTGCAAACCCAAATTCTGGTGAGGATGGGCAACAGTGATCTGGGCAGAAACCTCACTCCTGGCCACAAGGCTCAATGAGGTGACTTTGAACAAGAGAGCGTCTAAATACCACAGGGGCAATGACAGGAGGCCAAGACGGGAAACCGTGTCCAACTCCAGATTGCTCTTGTCCCTGGGACACCTTTGTGTGGTGCTCCTGTGGCCCTAAGACACAACCATTGTCTTGTGGGACCGGGATGGCGGGGGCAGTTCAAAAGGCTGGAAAAAACATGAAAGCTTTGCCTCAGTCCACTAGATTGTTTTTACAGCATGAAATGTTTTACAGCAGGAGGACACATATGGCAGGCTCTGAGGCAATGCTCAAGGTAGTCATCAAGAGTGTGAAGCCCATTGAGAAAGCGCTGGAAGACTGGGAAGGGCAGAGGGAAACAAGATTCCCCGAAGTGTGCCCAAGGACCGGCTGGCACAGAGCAACGCAGTGCCAAGGAGCACCTTAAGAGCAGAGCAGTAAGGCCGTCAGCTCCACATCTCGGCTTCCACCCTCTCGGGCAGGGCAACCATCAGGCTCTGATTCACCAGGGGTCTCGAGTAAAGAGGAGCCAATGCTGAGACCCGGTCAGACTGGGGACCTGGTACAGAGACAGGCTGGCAGCTTCCCTCCTCTCACCCCATCCAAAGCCACCTGGCCAGGCTCACCAGGGAACTAACCAGTCCTTTTACCGTGAGTGCAAATGAGACCTTCCTTCTCGCTCCATCTGTCAAACACGTCATGATAGTCGGTTCCCTAAGCTTGCTAAAGGTAGGCTTGGGCTAACACAATTTCATTGCCGACAAGTATCTTACACTTACTGTATGCTGCTAGGATTAAAGACTTGGAAGGAATTTCGACCTTTCCAAAGCTTTAATTTTGCTGAATTCATACATGGTAATTAATAATCACTGCTGAGACTCCTTATAGCCACCGTCTCCAAGCTCAGGAGACACATCTAGTGAAACCAGCCCCACAAAGTGATTTCCCTGGAAATGGCTGAGGCCTCGCAAAATGCTACGCAAATTCATGACTTTCACGAAGTGCCTTAATGCCAAGACAGGCACCGAGAAGAAAAACAAATGCTTCGCTGTTCACCAGCGACACTGTTCTCTTTTTCTTAAACACACTTGAAAGAGGGCTGGAGGCAGCAGTTGCACCTAACAATCTCCATGAAAGCTGTTACCTTCAAGGCTGCCAAATAACATCCTTTTTTTTGCTTGTTGTTCTTCTCTTGCTTTTTATCCTGCGCTGCCTTGATGGAGCACCAAAGGGTTTTTGCGCTCGCACTGTAAAAATACCTCTGAAAATAAAGAGCTGATTTTGAAGTACAAAGCTGCTGTTGTGGGACGCTGCAGCATCTGTTTTAGCATGTCATCTTTATATTTAGCAGCAGCGTACCTCCACAGATCAAGCACAGCCCGTAAGTCACTCGGCAACCCCCTCCATCAGCCGTGGGGGGCACAGGCTCCTCTCGCCCTCCGACAGCCCCCCGCACCCCCTCTGCGGCACGCTGCGACCTGCCTGACTGCCGCTGCCCGGCCCTGCATCTCTGACGCTGGTGTCCTGCCAACAGCTCAGCCCCGCAGCAGGATGCGAGCCTGCCGGCCTCCGACCTTGATGCAGCGTGCCGCTTTTGGCTTTTTCTGGGTCACGCGGCGCGCTGCGTGTACGCTGCGTGGCGTATGAAGGAGAAACCGTGCAATAAAATCAGGAGAGCCGCTGAAGCGTGCAATCTGGTGCACAGCTCTGACCTGCGCCCTCAGACTGTTCCGCCTGTGTCCCCGGGCCGTGTTTCTGAGCCGGTGCCCACAGCTAGAAATCAGAGCATGCAAAAACCGCCACAGCCAGCGCTTTCCATGACCACTGCTCTGAGGAGGTCCAGCAAGCCAGCTGCATGAACCTAAACCGACTGCAATATGCCCGCAACGCGTGTGCCACTCGCGGCTGGTACAGGTGGGCAGGCTTTGTAGCTCCTCTATCCCACCCCTGCTGCTTACTGTAGGCAGAACTGCCGTTTGCAGTGCCAAGAAAAGCAGGGCAAAACATAACAAAGACCCAACAGCAGCCGTCAAAGCAAAGGTCACAGGACTGGTGTTCGGAGGGCGGGAGGGGAAACTGGACAGAAAAGCTCATCTTGGCTCTGTGCTCTCTGTTAAAGGACGAAGGATGCAGGGTACAACATCCTCCCTGCCTAAGAGAAGCAGCATCTTCTCCATGCCTCCCCCATCGTTTTCCAGCTTACAGCAGGTGAGCACTGCAGCTTGCAGGACTGGCAGTCTCCTGCGAGGGGACAGCACTGTTTCTGGGTGACATTTTGCACAGATGTGAACGTCGGGTAACCAGAAGAGTGACATTTCAGCCCAGTGAGTGTTTCCCATGGAGAGGAGGGGAAACATTCACAGGTTTCTTCTTTGCTTCCAGCCACAAGAGCCGAGGAGTGGTTGCATGTGTGCAGACAGGGGAGGGCAATGGGGCAGAGAGGGGAGACACAACCGGCGCGTGCGTGAGCTCCCCGAGTGCAGTCATCGGGTCTTGGCAGCTACCCTGGAAAAAAAGGCACCGTCAGCACTGCAAAACACGCAGGAAAATCTTTAGCTGGCAAACGCAGATTTATCTTTTCCAGAGGCAGCGAAGAATGGAAAAGGCCCAGAGCTGCAGATAAGGAAGGGAGCAGTGATGGGATCGAGCCAGCTCCAGAGACCGATTAGTTCAGCTCTCTCCTGGATACAGCCCCCTCTTTGGAAAGGGAGTGTGGAAGCAAAACAGAGCCTGGAAGAACCTGGAATATCTTTATCTTCAGACACAGCTTAGGAAATGCCACACGCTTCTGTTTTACAGAGAGTAAGACTGCCTTACCTGAGTAGTTTTCGCCCTTCTGCCTTGCATGCTGTTACTATGGCTAATTTGTGGGTTGGTGGCCCCTTCGGAAAGGCAGTGGGATTTCCTACAGGGCAGCGTGTTGTAATTACTGTAGGAAGGTGCATCCTCAGCAGTAACCGATGCCAACTTATGGCTCCCGATATCCAGGATGTCGGACACTAAATTCCGGCAGTACCCTCCAAAGGCGTTTCGCGGGCCCCCATTGACAGTAGCGCTCGGGGTTTTGGGGGAATACAAGTCACTCAT